TCCAGATATCAACATAACCCCGTGGATAGTCCAATGGTCTGTATAAACATTAAATATTCCAGATATCAACATAACCCCGTAGATAGTCCGACCGTCTGTATAAACATTTAATAATCCAGATATCAACATAACCCCGTAGATAGTCCGACCGTCTGTATAAACATTTAATAATCCAGATATCAACATAACCCCGTAGATAGTCCGACCGTCTGTATAAACATTTAATAATCCAGATATCAACATAACCCCGTAGATAATCAATCCATCTTCGCTTACAGCAGAGCCTGATTTTTGGTATTAGTGTCAATGAGGGATAAGTTAATATTTCCTTTTGATACATTGCTTTTCTCAGTATCTGTGTTTATGTTTTGAAGTCAATATTGAGGTCGTGTTTTGTCTTTTTTGCTACAGCTACGTTATTGTATGTATTACAATTTTCGTTCATGACTTCTGATGAATAAAACATACCTATATAGATATATACAGACAATAAGGATCGATAAAATATCACAATACTGGAACTCAAGGCCAACAACTGGACAACAGAAGAAACAGAACCAAAATCAAGTACATTATGTATACAAACATTAAGAAAAATGTCAAAAGTCTTTCTACTTCAAATTAAGAAGATGACAAAGGAAGAATATACGAATATTGAATTTGAAATCAACTCTGATAATTATTATTAGTATTACCTATTTAACAGCCATCAACACAGGATAGGTCATTCGGGCCAACAAATGGTCGACAAAAAACAAAAAAACAAAATAAAAATATCGAACAAACTTAAAGATATAAACTCGGATAAAATGTACACGAAACATACCAATGACTTATATATAACAATATAAACTATTTTACTTATCAAACCTTTAGTCCGCTGTACACAGCAACTATCAATGAATCGATCAATCAATGCACTAAGCAATCAATTAATTATTTCAACAATAAAATGATAAATAATCTTATTCACATTATAATCGAGGAATCATTTTGACTAGCTAACATCATAATCGTACTCTGGCATTATTATGTATGAAGCTTATCGTTATTGTTAGATATCTTAGTCATAATCTCAATTACTCCAGCCCTTTAATATGAATGATAGTGGATTTGTCCTGTGTCAATATGTCCTGGGTCGGTTTGGCGATATAAGGAATGGGAACTTATTTAATAAAAATAAAGGACAAAAGTAAACAATGTTATTGATTGTACATGTGTATATATATGGTTATCTGTTCTGTTCCTGCCCATCGAGTAAATTAGAAACATTTTACTGTTGTTGAGATTTGACCATTGATTGAGATGTTTTAAAAGTATTAATATGTTAATGTTGTTGAGATTTGACCATTGATTGAGATTTTTTATAAGTATTAATATGTTAAAATGTTTTTGAGATTTGACCATTGATTGAGATATTTTATAAGTATTAATATGTTAAAATGTTTTTGAGATTTGACCATTGATTGAGATGTTTTATAAGTATTAATATGTTAAAATGTTTTTGAGATTTGACCATTGATTGAGATGTTTTATAAATATTAATATGTTAGTGTTGTTGAGATTTGACAGATGATTGAGATGTTTTATAAGTATTAATATGTGAGTGTTGTTGAGTTTTGACCATTGATTGAGATGTTTTATAAGTATTAATATGTTACTGTTGTTGAAATTTGACAAATGATTGAGATGTTTTATAAGTATTAATATGTTAATGTTGTTGAGATTTGACAAATGATTGAGATGTTTTATAAGTATTAATATGTTAATGTTGTTGAGATTTGACCATTGATTGAGATGTTTTATAAGTATTAATATGTTAGTGTTGTTGAGATTTGACAAATGATTGAGATGTTTTATAAGTATTAATATGTTACTGTTGTTGAGATTTGACAAATGATTGAGATGTTTTATAAGTATTTATATTTTAGTGTTGTTGAGATATTTTACCATTGATTGAGATATTTTATAAGTATTAATATGTTAGTGTTGTTGAGTTTTGACCATTGATTGAGATATTTTATAAGTATTAATATGTTAGTGTTGTTGAGTTTTGACCATTGATTGAGATATTTTATAAGTATTTATATTTTAGTGTTGTTGAGATATTTTACCATTGATTGAGATATTTTATAAAGATTTATATTTAAGTGTTGGTGAGATATTTTACTATTGATTGAGAAATTCTATAAATACAATTGTATTTATATTTTAGTGTTGTTGAGATTTGACCATTGATTGAGGTTTTTTTATGTATATATCTTTTAGTGATATTGCAAGTTGACCACTTATTGAGATCTTTCATAAGTACAGTTGTATTTATATTTTAGTGTTATTGCGACTAAACATATTTTTATTCTAAAGATGTTTTGCTTTGAATTAAAAAGAAATATATTCCATATGTTTTTATGCTTACGTGATATTGTGATTTGACGATTAGTGAGAATAACAAATGTGAATAGAATGATGTAGTCTATTCGTGAGAACAATTACATTTCATGTCCTAGATTTTCTACAGGACACCTATTTTGGTCAATATCCACAATAGTACTAACATAATATATGATGTTTTTTTATACTTTGTGCAATTTGTATACGATCGACATAATACGAGACTGTATTCCATTAAATTATTGATGGCATTGTTCAAATTTCGGAAATTACATTAATACAATTATTGGTTTAGAGTGAATCTATTGATGAGATCTTCATTACTTACTATGATTACAATGATAATAAAATACTGTAAATAGATGCATACGTTTGTACTTTGCTTTTTTTCTAATGGGTTATTATATAATATCATTGAGAGAGACACACAAGACGTATACGCATGCCAATGAATCAAACAAACAATGGACCGAATTTCAAACAGAATGTCAGCTGAGAGACATCTAGGGTTTGGATCTCATATGAAAAGATTATGATCAAGAACCATCACCAGACAACGACAACCCATTTTATAAAACACAGAAATTAAACGATATAAATAAACATCGTTAGCAAAGCCTTTATCGTTATATTATATAATTATGTACGTTCATAACAATGAACGTTTATAACCAGTTATTGTCATACATTTGTCGCCATGTGTTCACTCCTAGAACAGTGATCTGCATACCAATTATAAAGTAAAGATTGACATGCCTTTGACATTTATCTATGGATTTTAAACCTTTTTTGAAAACATTATTTTTCAATACCTCTAGTACTGTAAATAGCCATATAACCTTTTTGTAAATTATGCAAGACATATATATAAATATTGTATATTATTATGGTGGCGATGTTTTATTCTCTAGTTTACACGACCAGATCCTACACACATCACACGATACTGTTTATATCATAGATTGTATAAATCCACAATAATTAACGTAGGCTTAGCTGTATTTTGCCCTTTTATAGGAATAATATCTTTACTCGAAACAATATATATATCATTTTAAATATGCAAAGAACATAGTTTCATATATGCATCAATGGTCGTGTCCGCACAATGGTAGGAAAGGACTTGGGGAGTATAGGGCATTTTTGGCCTCGTAAAAGGTTTTTTTAACTTGAATGTTTTTACCAATTTCTGTTATAAACATCAATTCTGTTAATTGGGGCTTTCTTTCATAGTGAAGGTTTTTTCCAATGCGCATGCGTAGATGTCATACCATAGCAACGAAATGGCGTTGCTATGCAGGAATAGCCAAACTATGGAGTTTTTGGACAGTTGGCATTCAGAAATGAAAGCCTCTGCATATGACAATTCCTTTCTGCGAATGGTCACTGGTATGTTAATGTTTAAGCATGTGAAATATTTATTTGTTTGTTGCATGTGGAGGCTTTCAAAAATTGAAGAGTGTTTAGTTAATTTACCTCGAAATGCCAATTTTCAACAAAATAGCGCAACAGACGATAGTCACGCATTTTATAACGAAAACGCTGGTTTATGTCTCTCTTTGTAATGCCATATCTCATTAACCAGTTGTCGAATGTATTGGAAATTTCATATTTACGTACTTCATGTATTCCAGATTACAAATATACATGTAACAACTCATTCCAAATCCCAGATGAGGCCGAAAATGACCCTTAACGCCCCTAGTCCTTTGACACAAGTATTGCTATGGGACATTGTATTATTGAACGATTTATGATTTAATAGAATCAATTATAACATGAGTACCATGTGGTGGTTCATACATGGTATGATATCATGAATTTGTGATAGGAAATATGTATTAACAAAATAACCTCTGCACATTGTTATTTAAAACTAACCTTAATGGTAAATAATTATATAATCAAACAATGTCCACATGTATCTCACTGATACAAGTAACAATATTAATTTCAAAAATAATATTATTTTAGTAATTATCTCCAGTGACGATACACTATGGTGCTTTACTGGATTAGGGAAAACACATCAATTTATAGCGTCTTGCTGTTAAAATATTGTGAACAAATGTTTCACTGTTGAAGGGAATTGACATACTGACACTGTAACATAACATAAACACATCCATGTTTTTTTCATTCTACGACAAAATGTACCCTGATAATGTCACCTTGTGATCAAGTATAATACCTTATTACAGATCAGAATATCATAATGCCAAGACTGACGTTTTGTTAAGACACCAATCGTATCACAATAGAATGTTTATATGTATTATATATTTAGGATATATTATAACCTCGAACAGAAACATGCCTCTGTAAACAGAGTTTACATTTGTATGACATGTTATATTTGGTCGGTTTATTAACAAACTTCTCTTAATACAATATATGTTATTACATTACATCCCTCTGTGCTATGTTTTCACATCATGAACAGTACTAATATCGTAAGGAAAAAAGAGAGAACGTGGGATTCAACATGATATCATGTGTACTGTAAACAAATAAAGCGTTTTAACATAAAGCAGGATGTTTGGATATAACATACAGTCACATTATAATTTAATTAAGTCTGTGAACATAACTATGCATTAGTTACTTACCTGTGAACGGTGAGAGTTCCTGCTGATATCCAGAATATTGTAACAATGACTCTCTACTCGTACACTCGTGTCGCCTCAGTGGCTACAGTCTCCGTTACCTTGCTAAGCCTACGTACACAAGCCCCATACTTCATCCATTTATCGATTGATTCAGCAGCTGAATTCTTTTTTAATCATCATCACATGTCGTCCTTGAAAGCCAACGCCACGTGATTGGTTGTTGTGACAATATCCATACCTATCTCTGTGTGTCGTTTATGTCATCATTGTTCATAACGAACTACTGACCTATCTCAGATAACTTGGATTGTGTTGATGGTACAGTTACAGACTCACCTGGTGTGTGTCGTGTTTAGTTATCCTGTTTCAGATGTCCTGTTACTATTCACACGCATCGTCCAATGTTACAGGACTGTTGTTAACTGGTGCCATTAACGTTTCCTGTTTCAAAAGGTGTAGTCGTACACCGACCACCCGCTATAGCACGACCGTGACATTGTCAAACAGCCAAATACGTGATCTTGATAACTACAAGATAGTTCTTGAGCCAACTTTCTCAACTTTCGGTTATTCAATCCATTTTCTAAGTATAGCAAAAACTCCAACTCATATACAAGTATTCATAAAACGTTGATGAAATGATTACCAAAACAAATATCTCGTAAAACAAACATCAGTAAATCTGATTTTAACGCCAACAGAATCAATCAGCTGTAAATAACTTCCTTCAGAACGATAACGTCGGATTTAGTTCTTGGAATATCAATCAAGTTTGTAAGTGACCCCTCCATATTGTTAAGATGAACATTTATAGATGTTTGGCGACAGTGTCACTTTTCTTTCATCGTAGAACATCCAATTTGTCAAACACAAAGCACTGGTAATCAGGCTGTCCCTCAACTGTTCTATTTCATCAAGTTATTGTGTATTGGTCGTTTTAAAGATCCATTTTCCTGTGTGATTAGCCTCTGTCACTCCAGCCAATGGTAGGTACACAAAGTGTATATCGTATATATTGAATGATAAATATACAGGGTAAGAGGGTTGTCAAGCTAACAAGCTTAACGACAGGTGACCATGCATACTACTGTTCAAACAGAAACTAAAATAATTCATTAAAGTACTTTGATATGGAGAAATAACAATCATCTCTAGATATAGCACGTACAATCTGTTTCATTATTAAGCAAGGTTTTGTTATTTTGCTTTCGACAATTTGATTTACGACTTGATAAGCTGACAAGGCTATACACAATTTTTCAGGCGTAAAGTTAATGGCGTATACAGGTAAATGACCAGAAACCAGGAACTAAAAGCATTGTTCACTTGAAAAAAAAGTATATGGGAGAATCTCTCGTTCTCGGGTTTAGTATATAGTTATATATATTGATTGTGAAAAATTGTCATATCTTGAATTTTTAGAAAAAAAATTGGGAAGGAAGAGCAAGTATCTCGTACTGCAAGTATAGTGCATATTGTCCTATTTATACAAATTTCCAAATATATTTTTTCTACACTACTTAATATATCAGTAGTTAATACTGTCCAATATGCATATGGCGCAAGTAACATATATTGAACTAAATGTAGCACAGGGAGCTTTAAAGAACATGTAGCATACTTATTATGGTCAACAATCAGTCATACTTATCAGTATTAATATATATATAATATTTGGCTGGGGGGAATAAAAATATGTCACGTAGCCCTGAAAAATAAAATACAAACAAATCAGTCATACCGTTCAGGATGACATTTTTATTTTTCAATTTTAAATGTTTATTAATGACTCATTGCACTTTTCCTTCTAGTGCTATTAAATGTGCAGAACAGTAGACTAATTCATGAAAATATCTGCATTAATATCACTCGTAATCAGTTTGTATGCAATTTAAATAGATAAAAATACAACATCGTCTATACAGAAAAACTAAACACACCACATTATTTAAAAAGACCTAAAGAGTCCTAGTCGACACAAAACAACAGGAACTAGGGCGATACCAAAGGGACAACATAATGAATAAAACCGTGATTGAGTATGAAGCTAACCAGGCTTTATGTAGCCGTGGCCTGGTCGCAGCCCTACGTATGGAGTCAAGGAACAATACCGCGTGACAATTCGCTACAAAACTCCTCTGACTACATCGGCGTACATTTAAAAAATGTAGAAGTAACGTGCACTCGCGTTACTTAGCATTATAGGGACGTACAGCGAGTATTCCGGGCACATAGCATGGCCTGTTTACTCACGCGTAGGGTTCGGACGGTCGTTTATTAAGTATATAATATGATATTTATAGTCCGTAACAATTGATACATAAGTAACACACACGGACGGGGTCAGTCAGTGATTAATCCTTTATGCTATCGATTGGAAGTGAAGTAAAACAAACATAAACGACAGGACAAACAAACAAAGACAACATTTGTCATTTTCATTGATATGAAAAGACAACAATAGGAAAATGGAGACACAACAACATAAACAGATGTGTGATCAGCTACTCTGGAACGGTATACGGTTCCTGTTCCACATTTGGTACAATGTACATATGTACCTTCATTTTCAGTCGACATCAGGGAGATGCATTCGATAATAGACACGAAAACATAACAACAAGAGCATATCTAAGTGGTGAATGTTCACTTTCGGCCACGCAGTTTTAAGGTTTTCGGGCAGAAACATGGTTCCCGATTTACGCTTCCATTCGGCGCATTTATCAACAAAAAATAGTGTTTCTTAGAACAAACTCTGGAGAGTATTTATCAACGTTAACAAGACATCTCATCCTATTCACGTTACCATTTGTCTATCTTAAATGGTATGGCCATAGTGGTATGAGTTTTCTTCTGTAAATTGAACTTTAATGATAGAACTAACAGACTCGCTTTACAGTTGGTGTCAGCAATTAACACAAACATTTTGTGACAGATTGAATCGAGTAATTCAGGAGGCACGGTGGGCAAAGTCGTAGGAAGCCGGGTTCGTGTTCCAGTCTACTAGGCTGTAAATGAGTACGTGGCTAGGCAGTGCTAAAATCGTTGAATGCTAGCTGTGAGCGCCGAAACGACAGCACCGACTGTATGCTCCCCATGAGAAAGATATTGGCTGGTTGCAGATGTCCTATAACCACGGATGGTATTTTGTGAACCGTTTTGAGACGACCTACGAACCAGGTTGTGAAAAAGCGGCATATAAGAACCTCGAATTAGTATTATTATCAATTAAGGTGACCTATTTCTTAGAACATAGAACAGATGAAATGTATTACGATGTTGCGTGATATTGACACGGACAATTTAATATCACGGATGGCCATACATCTTAACACCAAACTGAATATCTCAAAAACCAAATTTATGTGCATTAAGATTGTATATATTTTACCAATTTAAAGGATTCCTCTAATCCATTTTAACTAAGAAAGATTTCTATTGTCTATATAACCTTAGAAAGGTTGTGCATTGACCGATTTAAATGTATACGAATTTTTCATCACATGAAACACATTCAATAATTAAATATGTGTCGCTTTGTCTCTTAAATTGTTAACAGTGAAAAGTCAATACCATGCTTAGCTTATACAGACGGCGTGACTGCTCGCTCTGCTTGAGTAAGGAAGCGTGACTCGCCATGTTTGATTATCATTGTCGGCTTGTGAATCCTACTATGACAACGCCAATCCAAACAATGTAGTTAGTCGTCAATAATGGATAACTGCAATATCTCTGTGTCAGGGTGAAAAAAACCGAATAGCTATGACGGAAACAGCTTCATCCTGACTATTTATGTTACCGAATCCCTAAGGAGGCTGTATGCGCTATAAATTAATTGATCTTAAATTCGAAGTTTGAAAGCATTGCGAACTTAACTGTTTCTTTCATTAGTTATATCTTACTGGTAGGAAAGAATATCCATACAACATTTTCAATACGCAAAGACAAAATCCGACATATGTGTAAAATATATAAAGACAGAACCCGAAATTCAGAAAACATCAAATCAAAACCAAAGACAAAACTAACTATAACAATATTGAAGTCAAACAAGCAGAGCCAGAAACAAGCGGTTTTTGACACTACACGTGGTATCCGTTATGACGTATATCGTCCGGTCCTTGAAATTATGTAAGTCAGATTTAAAATAATATCTATTAATTATGGGTAAAATCCAATGAAAGTTATTTGATATCATACCATTTAAATTCTGATATTTTTTAACATTTGCTGCGATAGGAGTGTCAGCTCTCACAGTTTTCTGACGTACCCCGCAGTTAACACAGTTCTGATGTTGTCTTTACTATCAATCAGAAACTACTCAAATCTGATTTTACTTTTCCTTTTACTTTTGTGACTCAGCCCTGAGTTTCTACTTACTAAGCTTAAACAAGCAACATATATAGTAACTACCGTGTAACCCTGCTGCTGTTCCACCAAGGGAACACAATGCATCGGGTGGTATCTTGCTGAATATACTGTGTATTGTCAATACAAACATGACTCATGATTTTGTTTTATTAATGACGTTTGTTGTAACTTTGACAAAAGACATAACGATGGAATCCACAGGTGGTGCAGACAGCCTTATCACTTCCGTTGTTTCACTTCCGTTGTGTCTATTCCGTAGCGTCTACTTCTGTTTTGTCTATTCAGTAGCGTCTACTTCCGTTTTGTCTATTCCGTAGCGTTTACTTCCGTTTTGTCTATTCCTTAGCGTCTACTTCCGTTGTGTCTATTCCGTAGCGTCTACTTCCGTTTTGTCTATTCCGTAGTGTCTACTTCCTTTGTGTCTATTCCGTAACGTCTACTTCCGTTTTGTCTATGCCGTAGCGTCTACTTCCGTTGTGTCTATTCCGTAGCGTTTACTTCTGTTTTGTCTATTCCGTAGCGTCTACTTCCGTTGTGTCTATTCTGTAGCGTCTACTTCCGTTTTTTCTATTCCGTAGCGTCGACTTCCGTTGTGTCTATTCTGTAGCGTCTACTTCCGTTTTGTCTATTCCGTAGCGTCTACTTACGTTTTGTCTATTCCGGAGCGTCGACTTTCGATACCAGTTTTAGTGGGAGCAAGTGATAAAGAGACATTTAACTCGATAGGAAGTTTATTAAAATTGAACGAGTTTCATTGAATTACTTAAATATCAAAAAACAAGGGAAAGGGGAAATTTAATTGAAATATTAACAGTATTCAATTGGAAAATCGTAATTTTTTCTATTCATTAACATTTTAAAAT